CATCATATTATTGTTCTCCTCAAAATTTTCCAACAATTTCCTAGTGTATTTGGAATGGCTGATAAGGCTCTCTGTATCCTGGCTCTTGACCACAACTAATTTCCTATGATCTTCCCATCTTGACTCACCTGTCCCAATCACACTGGTTTCTATACTTTCCTAGAAATGCCAAGCGCTCTCTCTCCCTGGGATCTTTGTTCTCTCTGCCTAGAAAATTGCTTGCCTGCTCACTCCTGTACTCACCCCGTCATTTTATTCAGAATTCTGAGGACTTCTTTGGGCATGGCACTGAAATAACTCTCTTCATCTCTCTTCCCTGCATTAGCTGAGGCCATGTTGTGTCTTGATGCATTTCTCTGTCTGCCTCTGTAGAAGATAACCTTTCCAAGGTCAATGTCTTGCTCACTACTATGTGTTCCTATTGTCTGAAATTTCGTGTGGCACATAGTTAGAGCTCAATAATTACTTATTGAAAGAAAGGACAGATGAACACATGGTTAAGTGATTCATTTATTTTTTGGACAGGCCTGTTTCTTTTTCTAGGGAGTCCTGACTCTTACATTCTTCCTGCCTTCAGTCTGTCATACATATACTTATGTTAACAACAATGTCCTTGTATGAATTGTTTTCCCTGTGTATTCAATATTTGAGTTATCAGCATTCCCCTTTTCAGAGGCTTGGGGTTCCAGAGTGCCAGAGTGGCTGTACGCTCTCTCACTTATAGTGGGGGCACTTGAGTTCTTTTCAGTGACTGGATGATGGCAAGTTTATCTAAGATTCAGAATCAACAGCGAGACATGTGGGGAATTTGTTTGCAGGACCTTGAAACGGCATTTTTTAAAAAAAGTCTGCTATAATTTTTAGTGGGAATTTCAACTTTTGTATTTATAGATCCTTTTATTTGGATTATATTTTGTTTCTCTCATTAACTTGTAATTATTTCTTGAATGTACTAAAATCTGACCCAGTGTCACCACAGTGCTCTAATTATAAAATGCTTGGCTATAAAATATTCTCAAATTGCTTTTGTGTTTCCAATGCAAAATGTCATTGGTTAGTTTTTACCAACAGAGGATTTATTGTGTGTGGTTTTTTTTTGTTTGTTTTGATTTTTGTTTTGCTTCAGTCTAGAAAACACTTCCTCAGACCCAGACTAACATTTGATTGTCCTCATAGTGACAAGGCTGATAGCTGAATTTGCTTCCTGTATCCTCTGATCAGCTCTCATTGGTTTGCCATTCACTATTTTAATCTACCAGACTGTCATTTCATTAAGAGGATGTGCTTTAGAATCAGACAAATCTGACTTTGTGTCCTGCTCTTCCACTTACTTAATTATGTGATCTTAGAAGAATTACTAAGCTTTTATGCCGATTCACCCATTTCTAAAAGGGGGAAATAATAAAAAGGGGGAAATAATATTTTCCTGATAGGGTTGTTAGGAGGATTAAATGAAGTAATGCACCTGAATTTGTTAGTGACTGATCTGCCACACAGTGAGCAGGCAGACATTACTGGTTGTTAACTTGGGGGATATGTTCTGATACCTTAGTAGCCCAAATAAGTTAATGCCTTATCCATCCTGTTCAGCTGAGCCCTTTGACAAGAGCAGATGGCTCCTACACAGTCATATTGGTAAGGAACTGTGAGGATGATCTAATTTCATTCATTTCATGGCCCTCTGCTCTACTTGAGGCATTTCCACAATCGATTTCAAAGTATTGCTCATTCAGAGAAGGTAGCACTCTGGCCTTTGAGAATCCCCGAATCTCCCTCCTGAGCAGAAGGACAAGATGAGGATGTGTTGAAAGGCATTCGAGTTGGGAGAGAAAGTGGAAAGGACCTGGTCTCTGGCACAGACTTAGCCATTAAAGAGAGTGTCCCAGACGGTGGGAAAGCCAAGTTGTTCAGAGGCGGCAGGGCTGTCACTGCAAGGGCTTCTAAAGGAGGAAGCCAGTAACCTGGAGCTGAGTGAACTCCTTTGATGTCTCATTCTGTCAGATCCTGGAGACACTTGCCCAGGTCGGTGGAGTTCAGGATGACCGGTTTGCATGACTGCTGGGGGATTTGTGACTAAACGGAGATAGTGCTTTTGAAAAAATAAAGATAAAAGGATGAGAAAAGACTATGAAATGACCCTCATTTTCAAAAGGAACCTAGAAGTCCTTTACTGGCATGCTTCCTCCTCTGCCACTTGCTGGGTGGTGTTTTCTCTGAAGTGGTAAGCTATCTCTGAGCCACAGTGAGAAATGTCTTATATTTCTTTAGAGAATTTGTCATTTGCGACTGAATGGAATATGTGTGTCTTTGCTTAACGAGCTACCAACAGCGTTTTTGTCACCTTATACAAAACTAAAGTCATTAAACTTTCCTTTTCATTTTTCTCTAGAATGACTTCCAAAGTTCCTCCATGGCTAATTCTTGTAGGGTCATGGGAAATGAATTGAAAAGGCAATTCCTACAGCAGGGGCCATTCCTCTCAAACAAGCAAACCAATGACTGTGACTTGCTGTAATTCTGCACATTATTTCTTTTATTAGTATGCTCTTTGCCGAACTTTAGTTGCTGGAAGTTACACAATGACATTCCTGAGTCCCTAATATTAGGACTATTGATAAAATCAATGAAATCCTCATACCTAAAATGTGAATTGTGTGTGTATGTGTGTGTTTCCTGTGGCAGCGGGTGGGCAAAAGGCACATGTAGAAGGACATAAGAAGAAAGAGAATCAATATTTATTGAATATTTATTATACGCCAGGTTCAACATTTGTGTTATTACTCCCATTTTACAGATGAGAAAACAGAGCTGGGCCAAAGTCACATGACTAGTAACTAAGTGGCAAGGCCTAGGTCAGTTGGACCCTGAGGCATGCTGGTCACCTCCACAACACTACCGTCTTTTTGCCTCTTATTTGCTGTCATAGGAGCCTTGGAGTCAGCTCAACCCCTCCTTAATAGCCAGAGAGCTCTTCCAAGGAACCTTGGTAGGAAGAGGGTTTGAAATGAGGACTTCATAACCATCCACTGCAGCACACCCCTGCATCATTGTGCCTTGACCTTGAATACAGAGCCACCTGTGCCCTAAGGCTCAGAGGCAGGAGGAACTAGCCTTGGCTTGAGTGGCCATAGAGAATATGCGTCAGGAGGCAACTCTGAGCGAGTTAGAAAGGGCTTAGGAGCTTCACCCCTGGAGAAGGACTACCTCTGGGGAGAACCAAACTTCTCCCGGTCTCTCATGCCCAGGAATTAGGAAGGTGTAATTGTCTATGTTCACCGGCATAAGCAGGACCTACATTCTGTTCTCTAAACTCTTGCCCAGCCCACTCATTTCCAAGCCTTGAAAACCATACGAAAGTGAAGTAGCAAAGCAGAGGGAGAAGAGTTGTGTTACAACAAACTGCAATGGTTTATGCAAATCTTCTTTCTTTAGTGGGCTTTTCACAAGACTAATGATTCTCAGCTTTCAAGCCTTTTATTTTTTATTTTATTATTTTTTTTAATCCTCGCCCAAGGATATTTTTCCATTGATTTTCAGAGTGGAAGGGAGCGAAGAAGGGGGATAGACAGAGAAAAACATTAGTGTGAGAGAAACATTGATTGGTTGCTTCCCACATGTGCCCTAACCTGGGCCAGGGATCGAACCCTCAGCCGAAGTACCTGATAGACTGGGAATCGAACCCTTAACCCTTTGGTGTGCAGGCCAACACTCTAACCACTGAGAAAAACTGGCCATGGCTTTCAAACCTTGTAGAATGATGACATCTATTATAAGGAGTTCAGTCACCATTAGGTTTTCTTAGAGATTGGTCTCCTGATTTCAACATCTGTTGCTTGATTTAAATTTCATTCTTTCCATTAGGCCTGAGCCTTGGTGACACGTGCTTATTTTATTACCATTTGTTTTCTTTTAAACAATCACAAAGCTGAGAGTTTTTTCCTGAAATCTGATATGGGATAGCAGATATGAAAATGTTCTTAGGTTTCATTTATTGTTCCAGAAGTTAATGACTCTGTTGGTATTTATGTGAATGCCATGGAATTATATTAATACTGTGGGCTTGGGGAATGCTGTAGTAACCTGCAAAAGGAAATTCTGTCTGAAATAATTCTTCAGGTATGAGTGTAGTGTTGTTACGGTTGTTTTGTTTTCTGCCAGATGTATACAGAGTCCATTGTGTTTTCATTCCTTATTTGAGTGCGTGTTCATGTATGTATGTTTTTCTCTTAGTATGTATCTTTAACTAGTTATAAGCCACGGGATATATTGCTAAGTAAGTGTAAATAACAGCATGTCAGCACATGTAAAAAAAGTACCCTGTGTTCATGTATATATGTTTTTCTCTTAGTATGTATCTTAACTAGTTATAAGCCACAGGATATATTGCTAAGTAAGTATAAATAACAGCATGTCAGCACATGTAAAAAAAGTACCCATCAATTAAATAAAGAGGAAGTTCATTAACTCAATTTTTTTAATATGTGCAACCTTTCTCCCAGTGGGGTCAAACAGGTAGAAATACTTTCCTTTATCAAGAAAGTTAAAAAGTTGGAGGTCATTTCAGTCCATTAAAATTAATATATTCCCAGCTTCACACATTCAAACAGTATCCTATTAATTAAAAGAAGAAATGCCAAATTTCACACCAAGTTATCTAGTATTTTGTGAAATGAGGCCCCATTACAAGTGCAGCTGCTATGAATGAGGCTCATGTGGTTTCCAACTCCACCTAATTCTTTACTCTTATAGCTTCAAGGCTGAGAACATTCTAGTGTTTATCCATAGTTCCTTCCTTAACCTCATCTGGTTAGGATGGTTTTTCTCTAGGACATAAAAGGGATTTAGTGTTCCACACCAGTGGACTTCCTTACCCATAGGCAATGATTTGGCCCTAGAAAGAGAGATTATTATGCACACTTGGTGTCATGACTTAAGTTTTCTTTAGAATTTTATATTTTCCTTACTTCTTCTTCTTCTTTTAAATAAATCAAACCAAACAGGTATTCCTGGAGGACTTCTGAGTGGAAAGAATGCCAAGTCTCTCTCCTCCTCGAGCAGCAGGACCCCCACTGGCCTGTGACGGGACCCGTGTGTGGAGGTGGGATCCAGACCCGGGCGGTGTACTGTGCCCAGAGCACACCAGCATCCACCGCACAGAGGGCCAAGGAAGGTAGGCAGCCAGTTCCAGGGACAGATGGTGCCACTGCCTGAAGGGAGATGGACTCCAGCCTTCTCTCCTCAGATTCTTCTGGATGCAGTGGACCCTCAGCATTCACACATTTCATATTTGTTTCGTTGACTATTTGCAAATCATTCCTAAATTCTGCCACTTTAATTTGAAATAGTTAAAAACAATAGCAGTAATAAAAACAGCAGCCTCAAAGGATCACTGTGAAAGTGAAATGAGAAAATATATCTGACATCTGTAGTACAAATGAATACCACACTCTGAGAGGCTCGAGTGAGTCAGTTAGTAATGAATAATAGTATTGTTTTGTTTTGTTTTCAAGAGTGTTTTTTGTGTGTGTGTGAATTTGTGAATGTGAAAATTTCTGCAGATATATCACTTTTAAATGTTAAGGTCAATGTCAATTTATTGCCAAATTGACAATTTTGAATGTTATGAAAAGAAGGAGGAGAAGAAACAATTTCTTCCATGGTAGCCTTTCTCCTGGGCAGGTGCAACCTCAGCACCAGTCCATTTGTTTCAGAGTTGGAGACAGTGATAACGTATAGAGACTGAAAAACTGGCCCAGACTTACTTAGTCAATTGACTGAAAAGCCAAGAGTAGACGATATGCTTCTACCCTAGAAGAAGGTGTGACATATCCCAACCACAGCAGTGCCCTCTGCTGAAGTGGTCAAGGTGGGGATGCTTTGTTGGGTGTGCACATACATTCTCTCCTGTGGAATTTAGTTAGGGAGGTAAGATCTGAGCTTTCTTGCTATGGAAATGCATCCTTTTTATCCTGTCAAGCTTTTCCTACCAGGTGTCTTTTTTTTTTTGACCTGGCCTTTTATTGTTCCAGGGGCTTCTGAGACCACAGCCTTTGGGCGATGCTCCTTATAACTCACAGAGGAATAATCTTTACAGACTCCTGAGCATTTATTTCAACAATTGAAGTTACTTCCATATTTACAGGGCGAGGGCTATTTTAAAAGTGATAGTTACATTTTAATAAAAATTTATAAAAGTGATAGTAACTTTTTCAAAGTGACAATTTACACACGTTCTGGTCCAGGACAAAACATGACTATGCTTACTCCTCTAAACTTGGAAGAACAAGATCAATAAAAAGTTCCAGCTTTTTCTTCCAGACCTTGGTGATCTTTCTATTTCACCTTCTTCTTCCCCCCTTTTACTATTGTCTCGAGTTCTACGGTATTCAGGGTCAACACATAAATGAGAATTTATGACCTATTTTTAGCTTCAACTTTTAATCTTCTTTTGACAGTTTCATCTTCCTAAAGTTTCTTTAGTGAAAATAGCTTTAATTATGGATCACCTATTTCTAAAATTTCTTCAACTTTAATCTTTCCAACATTCTTAATAGAAACATCTTGGGTAGGAAGATTATAATTAGGAAGAGATGGATGAATGGTGTTCTAGAGCTGAGCATGATATTCAAGCTAGGCGGTTCAAGAGAGGAGGGGTATTAAAGATATATTTCGTAGCCTATTAAACCCTGCTACCATATGCTTCAAGCATGTAATGAAGAGGAAAAAAATCTAAGGCCAAATTACACTTTCAGATTAGTATGCTGGTTCGCATGGAAACAAAAAAGTACTTAGAAATCCCTAAGCCTGGTAGCCCAGTCCTCAGAGGGGTAAAGGGTTGTAGGGGTCTTAGATGTGGGGACAAGATATAAACACAGTGATGTATACCAAGACCATGTACTCTTGTGCAAAGTTGAAGACAGAGTCAAACTATTGCTGCATTGGAAACACAACACAGTCACAATTGCATTAAAGGCATGGTGTAGCTTACTACTTACCTTTGTAGACATTAACAAAGGTTTTTATTTTGCTCTTGTATGGAAGTGAACCAGAAAGATTGTTCAGCCATCACTTTCCTTTCTTATAAATTCTTTCCTGTCCTGCTGTTATCATGTATAGATATGCCTTGACAAAGCTGGCAACATGAGAATTTCTTCCTTGGCTCAAGTTAAACACAAGAGAATAATTGAATTGCCATTGAATGGGACCAATGGAGTGTTTTTGCCCAATTAAAGTGACAGAATTTAAATATTTCTAACCTTTTCAGCTAATGCAGAAAGAAGGCCAAAATTGATGACAATTTTGCATTTCAGTTTTTGTGAACATCTTTTTTATGATTATTATTATGTTAGGTTTTGGAGAAAGAATTTTAATAGCATCGATTTTGGAAGCTCTTTTCGCAGTCACAGCTGACTTTCCCACAAGGTTGGTTTCTCCTTAGACTCCAGGATAGTCTGTTCAGTCTCTGCAATGGAATTGCTTGACGTTTTTCCCCACAAAACTCTGCCATTCATTGTGAGTTAGCTGTGCCGCTTTCTAAGAACCTGATCTTAGACCAATCCACAATCCTGGGGGATGGTGAGGGGGAGGTAAAAAACACAAGATTCATTTATATGGGTCTCTCATGCAATAGAATTTCTAAATGCTAGAATGGTGATTGGGGAAGAATGCTAATTCTCTCCTTAAGGCTCCCATGTCTCTTGCTGAGGCTGGACGCTGAGACTGAATTGTGTTCTGTGGCAACTTATTCTTACAGATGTCCCAGTCTCCATTTGACCTCAATTCATGGTGTTTGTAGGGATAATATAAGAACAGCTATGGCATATTTACCTAGTTCTATTGTTCAGTGTTCATGTAATGTTTTAGCTGCAGTCAAAAATGTGCTGTAACAATCAATATGAGAAGTATTACCAGTGATAGCAGCCAAGTCAATAGTTTTGGGGATAAAAATATAGAGGGTTATTTATGATTTTGTTTACCACTTATTGTTGTGTTTTTCTTTGATAAGAGAAGCACTAATAAGAGTGATGTTTACCTGCAAATCTAAAAGCTTATATTTGGTGAGACCATTTTCTTTTTGCCCTTTTCTCAAATGAAATTAAAGCCACTTAGCCTGCATTCAAGGATGATTTCTCAGAAGGTAAAACATTGAAACAAGGAACACACCTCTAAAATCTAATAAAGACTGGGACAGATTTAATCAAGTTATGACAATGTGGCCTAGGGCCTGGAATATCAACAAATATGGAGTGAAATAGCATAGAGATAGAATGCATTCATTAGGTAAAAAAACATGAAACCAAAAACTCTACAAAAACTAAATAAAAATTGGGAAAAGGAATTGGTGTGGTTGCAGTTAAGCAGAACACTACCTGTTTGTTTGTTTGTTTGTTTTCAAATTTCAGATTTATTACTTGACATTAAATGGACAAAGCTATTTTGAAAATGGAGCACACTTTAGCTTTGAAATGTTGAATACATTAGTTCACCCCTGTACTTCAGTAAGACTCAGTAGTTCCTGAGAGTCCTAAGTCTTTTTCATGCTGGGCTCAGACTTGGTATTAAGGGAGAGAATAATCAGATATGGGAATGGCCTGGAATTCTGAGTACTATGGGAAGACTTTATATACATATAAAGACTTTATATACATGTCTAACTAGTGTTTTGGTTCTGGGTTTTAGTTCTGACTTGTTTGGAACTTTGATAAACCACATTAGTGTTTTTCAAGTCTTCTAGTTCATTAAATTGGTTTTAAATATACTGATGATGTCAGTTAAAGGTGGATGACAATGATACATTCATACTATTTAAATAATTTATGTACAGCTATGTTTAAGGGTATTATTATCAAGGTACCCTTCATTCATTTATAGACTCTTAATTGGAATGACAATTGAATGAACAATTAGGATATTGTGTATTAATAATGTAACCATCTATAATAATAAAAGCATAATATGCTAATTAGACTGGACATCCTTCCTGATGTCCTTCCTTCCAGATAAAGCCAAGCAAGCGGGGGCCATGGCAGAGGTGGCAGAGGCCCCTGGCTGTGGTGGCAGCAGGCAGAGGCCAGGGCCATGGCCCTTGCATTAATTTCGTACATCAGGCCTCTAATTATATATATATGTGTGCATACAGGGTGGGGTAAAAGTAGGTTTAAAGTTGTTCATATGGAAAATAATATAATCTACACTAATAAAAGAGAAACATGGTAATTGGCGTACGACAGCTACCCTTTTCATTGGCTAATCAGTGAGTATATGCAAATTAACTGTTAGCCAAGATGGCGGCCGGCAGACAGGCACTGAAGTGAGCAGGGAGGCTTGCTTGCTGCAGACTCCAACGTTCC